ACATACTCCCAGGTGCACCTCAGACCTCCCAGGTGCTCCTCAGACACTCCCAGGTGCACCTCCAGACACTCCCAGGTGCACCTCAGACACTCAGGTGCACCTCAGACACTCCCAGGTGCACCTCTCACCTCCCATACTACTGTCACCCCCTGGTTCTTCTCTGACTCCAGGTTACCGCCTGGCCTCTACCAGGCACTACCATACACTCCCAGGTACTCCTCTGTCACTCCCAGGTACACCCCCAGACACTACCAGGTGCTTCTCTGACCTCCCAGGTGCTTCTCTGAGTACTCCCAGGTGCACCCCAGACACTCCTAGGTGGAAACCCCAGACACTCCCAGGTACACCTCTGACACTCCCACGTACACCTCTGGCCTCCCAGGTACACCTCTGACACTCCCAGATTTTACCTCTGACACTCCCAGGTACACCTCTGACACTCCCAGATACATCTCCTGACACTCCCAGGTACACCTCTGACACTCCCAGGTACACCTCGGCCTCCCAAGGTACCTCGGCACTCCCAAGGTACACCTCAGACCTTTCCCCGGTGCACCTCTGACACTCCCCAAGGTACACCTCCTCACACTCCCAGGTACACCTCTGATACTCACAGGTATACCTCCTGGCCTCTAGGTACTCCCCTAACACTCCCAGATTACCCCAGACACTCCCAGGTACTCCTCTGACCTCCCAGGTACACCTCAGACACTCCCAGGAACACACCTCTGACCTCCCCAGGTACACCTCAGACACTCCCAAGTACACCTCACACCTCCCAGGTACACCTCAGACACTCCCAGGTACACCTCAGACTCCGGTACACACACTCCGACACTTCTAGGTGCACCTGCGACACTCAAATTGCACTCGGCCTCCCAAGGGTGCACTCTGACGCTCCCAGGTACACCTCCAGACACTTGGGTGCACCAGACCTCCCCAGGTGCCTCAGACCTCCCCAGGTGCACCTCAGACACTGGGTACACCTCTCACCTCCCTCATGCTCTGTCACTCCTGGTTCTTCTCTGACTCCTCCCAGGTGCACCTGACACTCCCAGGCACACCTCGCATACACTCCCAGGTGCTCCTCTGTCACTCCCCAGGTATACCCCAGACACTACCAGGTGCTTCTCTGGCCTCCCAGATTGCTTCTCCTGATAATCAGGTACACCCAAGACGCTCCCAGGTAAACCCCAGACACTCCCAGGTACACCTCTGAGCACTCCCAGGTACACCTCCTGACACTCCCAGGTACACCTCTGACACTCCCAAGGTACACCTCCTGACTACTCCCAGGTACACCTCTGACACTCCCAGGTACACCTCTGACCTCCCAGGTACACCCTGACACTCCCAGGTACACCTCCAGACACTCCCAGGTACACCTCTGACACTCCCAAAGTACACCTCTCTCACACCTCCCAGGTACACACCTCTGATGCTTCAGGAATACCTCCTGACACTCCCAGGTACTCCCTGCCTCCCAGGTACACCCAGACACTCCCAGGTACTCCTCTGGCCTCCCAGGTGCACTCAGACACTCCCAGGTACACCTCTGACCTCCCAGGTACACCTCTGACACTCCAGATTACAACTCTGACCTCCCAGGTACACCACAGACTGCTCCCAGGTGCACCTCAGACACTCCCAGGTACACCTCCGACACTCCCCAGGTACACCTCCGACCTCCCAGGTACACCGCCGACACTCAGGTACACCTCCGACCTCCCAGATTTACACCTCTGATGCTCCCTGGGTGCACCTCTGTTACTCCGGGTACACCGCTGACACTCCCAGGTACAAATCTGACACTCCCAGGTACACCCTGACACTCCCAGGTGCTCCTCTGACACTCCCAGGTGCTCCTCCTAGCACCCAGTGCACGCTGACGCTCCCAGATGCACCTCCAGACTCTGACAGGTACACTTCCATTACTCCAGGTACACCTCTCCACACTCCCAGGTACACCTCTGACACTCCCAGGAACACCTCAGATACTCACAGGGTGCACATGCGACACTCACAGGTACACCTCCTGACACTGTAGGTGCACCTCTGACCTCCTGGTACTCCTCCTGACCTCCCAGGTACACCTCAGACACTCCCAAGGTACACCTAAGACACTCCCAGGTACACCTCAGACACTCCCAGATTACACCTCTGACACTTCCAGGTACACCTCCGACACTCTCAGGTGCACACCTCTGACACTCTCAGGTGCACCTCTGGCCTCCCAAAGTGCACCTCAGACCTCCCAGGTACACCTCAGACACTGCCAGGTACACCTCAAATACTCCCAGGTGCACCTCCGACACTCCCAGGTATACCACTGACACTCCACGTACACCCAGAGACACTCCCAGGTACACCTGGCGCACTCCCAGGTGCACCTCCTGACACTCCCAGTGCACCTCTGGCCTCCCAGGTACAACTCTGATGCTCCCAGGTGCAACTCTGACACTCCCAGGTACAACTCCAGGCACTCCAGGTACACCCTGGCCTCCCAAGGTGCACCTCAGACACTCCCAAGGTACACCTCTGACCTCCCAGGTACACCCCTGACACTCCCCAGGTACACCCCAGACACTCCCAGGTACACCTGACACTCCCAGGTATACCTCTGACACTCTCAGGTACACCCCTGATACTCCCAGGTATACCTCCTGACACTCCCAGGTACTCCTCTGACCTCCCAGGTACACCCCTGACACTCCCAGGTACACCCAGACACTCCCAGGTACACTGCTAACACTCCCAGGTACACCTCTGACACTCTGGGTATTCCTCTGACACTCCTGGTACATCTGACCTCCCAGGTACTCCCCTAACACTCCCAGGTACACCCCAGACACTCCCAGCTACTCCTCTGACCTCCCAGGTACACCTCAGACACTTCAGGGTACACCCCAGACACTCCTAGGTACACCTCTGACACTCCCAGATACACCTCCGACGCACTTTCAGCGCACCTCAGACACTCCCAGGTACACCTCCTGACCTCCCAGGTACACCTCTGACACTCCCAGGTACAACTCTGGCCTCCCAGGTACCACCTCAGACACACTCCCAGGTACACCTCAGACACTCCATGTACACCTCCGACACTCCCCAGGTACACCTCCAACACTCCCCAGGTACACCTCTGATACTCCAAGGTACACCGCTGACACTCCCAGGTACACTCTGACACTCCCAGGTACACCCCTGACACTCCCAGGAGTACTCTCTGGCCTCCCAGGTGCCACTTCTAACTTACTCTCAGGTACACCTCAGACACTCCCGGGGAACCTCAGACACTCCCAGGTGTGCCTCAAAGATATGCTAGGGACTGTCAATTGGTTGAAAAGGTTCAAAGGAGGGCCACCAGACTGGTGCCTGCACTTCGGCACCTCAGCTACCCTGAGAGATTGGAGCGCCTGAACTTGCCTAGCTTATACTACAGACGGGCAAGGGGGGACCTAGTTGATGTGTATAAGCATCTCAGGGGGCACTACTCAGCCGAGAGTCGTTACTTGGAGCTGGCGGACGCTCGCCCCACAAGGGGTCACAGCTCAAGATTGAAGAAGCCGCAAGTCCAGAAAACTGTGAGGGCAAACTTTTCGGAGTGAGAGTTGTGAACTCTTGGAACAATCTACGAGAAAGTGTTGTGACGGCACCGAGTGTGAGCTCTTTCAAGACAAGACTTGACCAACACTGGAGCGGGTTCATGTACATTCAGGAGCTGGTGCGTACCCAGTACTTGCCAACAGTGCGTAACAGAGACGTGACCGATCGCCCAAGCGGCTAACGAGCCAATCTTTTGGTGAAGAGGATAAAAGACAAGGAAAAGTAATCAGAGACGTGACCGATCGCCCAAGCGGCTTACGAGCCGATCAGTGGTGAAGAGGATAAAAGAAATAAGATTGTAGATTTTTTGCATATCTGTTTGCTCTATACATATCTGATTTATGATTAGTACAATATTAAGAGTTCTTGTTTAGACTAGTTTTGGGCGGGCTCGTTACCATGCTAACCAGCTCCTTTTGATGTATTTGTCAATAAATGTTTTGAATTTGAATTTGAGCTGTTCCGTGCACCTTAAAACGCCTTTCAAAAGGTGCCTTACAATAAACACCTTATCTCCGTTGAAATTTTCCCCAAGTTTTCTGAACGTGGTGGTGCTTTCAACACTCACATAGCGAGAAATAAAAATACGTTAAAATAATGAATGAATACAAAATAAATAAAGGAGTAAATGAGTAGACAAATAAAAAAAAACTGACACGGTGAACATAACATTGTTTACAAGAGCTGGTGTAGCTGGGCGGTGGCGGTGACGGACTGAGGCTCAAGGCGTAACTTGTCATAATGGAGTTGGAGGATTCGTTCTATCCCAAAGCTCAATATATAGAAACAGTAAGTATTATGGGTAATTTTTGGTAAAGGTAAATTTATATTAATTCACACAACTCTGTTAGAAAGTCAAAACTATGTTTTTCTAGTGTATTTTGGTGTGTTTTAATTGGTTCTGATCTTGGTTTCCGTCGGAAATTGCTTTTTTTTTCTTTAGATATCGCTCCCTTCTACCCCCAACAAGATAGGGGATCTTGTTGGAAACCGGGGTTTTGGGTGGGCCGTTTTCCGACAAAAATCATGGCCAAGTGAATACAAAATACACCAAAAAACAATATAAAACATATAAACCTAACCTTTTTTTTAGATGACCAAACCAAACCTAACCTAACCTGACCTATCTTAACCTAACCTGACCTCATCTAACCTGACCTCATCTAAGCTGACCTAACCTAACATGATTTTACATAGCCAAACTCTCACCATATGAGGGACTCACTGTTATTTCTTACCTCATTGGTCTGTTTCCAGTTCGTCTCTTCTTTGTCTTGGGAATATGGAATGAGTTACTCCAATACCAACTATGTTGGTCTTGACGATATTTACACTCTTTATTACGACACTTTACTGAGATTGGGAGAACACCGCAAGATTGCTTGTTCGTTTTTTTCCCCAAACTCGCAATTAACTCTATATAATTGAAGTGACACCCATCACTGACTTCCATGGTCGGAAATGAATTTGAACTTCAAAATATGAGATGCAAAATTACAATCGAATCTGATTGGGCAAAAGATACCATGAATTCTAAAAGCAGAAACCACAATTCATTTTAATTGGTGCCCCTCCCCTCAAAAAAAACCCAAAACAAACGCTATTGATTGGCCGCATGACGTGTATGGAAATGCATGCACATGACAATTTATGAAGGGAACATGCAGATTGGGAGGTCGGGTAGGCGATAATGGCGGAAGATTAATGGAAGAAAATATAGAAAGATATGGCATGCGCTATCTTCGCTATTATACATTTCTTAAAATTAGACTTATTTTTCGAATATGATAATAGATTTGGTGTGGGAAAGTTGTGTGAACTACTTTAAAAATACCTTTGAGATACCACTACCACCAGAAGTGGTTATTCGAATTTGTTTAATTTTTCCACAGATTTTACCATTATAGTACGTATTTTTGAAATAAAATCTAATAGGGTTTAATGTTAGTTTTGTCATCTGGGGAATCTTAGGAATATACAGTAATGGCAAATTTTCACTTGTTGCCACTAAACGAAATCAAAGTTGAAATTATGTTTTTCCGATGGTCTTTTGATATTTTTCAACGAATTTGACCTTCATTTCTGGCCCAAATCAAAAGTTTCTGAGATAAGTCCCCCCCCCTCTCATATCATAATCTAGAAAGGTTAAAGTGTTCAAAACACATAAAAAATCACTGGAAAAATAGTTTTGAAGCTAACCTAACCTAACGGGGGGATCTCCACAGTCGTTCGATGTTCTGGGTGTCTACCGCCACGTACGAACACAGTAGTAGTTTTAGTATCCTGGTGAAAATTATCCCTGTTGGGATTTATTGCCAGGCTTGGCCCTCATCTACTCGTTGACTCTATCAAGGCTGTTCTTGAACTGGTTAACGGAAGTTGCTTGAACTACATACTGATCCAGATCATTCCATTTGTCCACTGCTCATTGACTGAAAGTGTGGCTTCTTTTGCCTTTATTTGCTCTTTGCTGTTGTAATGTGTGGTTATGTCCTCTCAAGTTTCCTTGATATATTCAGTCTTAGAAAAATTTATATTCTTTACATTTTCATAACCATTCATTATCTTATACTTCTCGATTAAGTCTCCTCTACTCTACTCCTCTCTTCCATAGTGGTTAATCCCAATTTTGCCAGTCTTTCCTCATGAGATGGGTCAGTCAATGATGGTATGATTTTTGTTGCTCTTCTCTGCACTTTCTCAATACTATCAATCTTACCTCTGTGATACGGCATCCACACCTGTAAACAATATTCCAAGTGAGGTCGAATGTAGGTTAAATATAGTCTTAGAGAGTTCTTCATTTATGTAGGTAAACATTCTCTTAACAATTCCGAATGACTGGTTTGCCTTCGCAATTGATTTTGCTGTATGGCTCTTAAACATTAAGTTGTTACTTATCACAACCCCATGATCGTTTTCTTCCAATACCACATTCAGCCTTAGGTTATTCATATGATAATTAATTTGAGGATTAATATTGCTGACATGCATTACAGTACATTTACTCAGGTTAAAGTTTAACATGTACTCTGACCAATTATTTTTCTAATTTAAATTTTTCTGCAATCCTGAAGTCTCCTCTGAATCCATCTTAACCTCTTCATAGATCGTGTTATCATTGGCAAATATTTTCACGTTGATGTATCTCAGATGTCGGATCATTTATATAGCTTATAAAAAATAAGAGGCCAATAACACTTCCCTGTGGAACACCACTGGTAATGGCTTTCCATCTGGATTCCACTCCATTTATCACTACCTGCTTGCTTTCTACCACTTAGATTTGGCCTCGAATTCCCAACTTATTTTACTTATATATAAGTCTCTTATGTGGAACAGAGTCAAAAGCTTTCTGGAAATCCAAAAAGACTACATCAGAATTTTTATTCTCATCATCCCACATAAGCTAATCCCGAAACCATTGTTTCAATGGGATTTTGGGTAATTGGTTTCAGCTCACTGAAAATTACATACAAAGTAAAAAAAAAATGCAGTTAAGTAAACTTACTTTGAGGTGTGTATGTAGAAGGCTCCTGGTTGATGATGATGATGATGGGAATTAGAAGTGGGGGTGGAGGAGAAGGGAGAAGAGAAGGAAGTGGGGGTGGAAGAGAAATCACCCCATGCTTGATGCTGTCATTTCACCCATAAAATTTTGAATTCACTAGGTGTAATTCAAGATTAGTTTCTTTAAATCAACACTGCACTGCACTATATATTGTCAATATGTTAAATAAATTTCAGAATGACCAATAATTGTTCTGTAAAAACGTGAAAAATAATCTGTGTTCAAGAGACCCACAAGCAGGATGTTTCCTCCACTGAACAGAGATACAAACTGAGGCCTTGGTGGGTGAGTGAAGTGGCTGATGGGCACACCAAAAACTAGTTCCCTGTATTGCAATTATGTTAAATAATTTTTAAAATGACTAATAATTTTAATATAAAACTTGGACAATTATTGAATAGTACAACCTTCTTGATATTTACTCCAATTTTAACGAATGTAAGCCCTAGAACCGATTTCTGTATTGATGGACTAATCTTCCAGCTGGTGAGCAAGCCAAAGCATGTCGAAACATTTTCGTAAGAATTTCGTTAACCGAATTTTTGTTTGTTAACCGAAATGAAGATTCTTATGGAAGGCAATTCGTTAACCGAGGGACCATTGTACATTATAATTAGTGCAAATGTTTTCTTTGAAAACATGAATTTGTTTGTGACTTGGATGGTAAATGTTCCTTATTTCAAATTTTTTCCCACATATCTTGAAAGTTAAAGTTTTCAAGTTGTTAGATCTTTAGAGACATTAAAGTGAGCCACAACTGTGGGCATCCTTAACAGTTTTATATGAAAATAATAATAGTAATCAAATATTATTAATGAACCAAGGAGGGGTGGGGGGCAGGGCTTGTATTGTTAGTTAAAAAAAAAATGCTATAGTCAGCAGTGTCACTGTGATACTAATAAAGTTTTTGAGTCTGGTCTATTTATACAGATGTCTTGGGAGACGTGACATGAAGACTGATGTGATGGTAGATCAAAGAAACTTTCTGCTTGGCAAGTGGAAGTGGGGACCAGAAGGAAGTCAGAGGAAGTAACTGGGATAGATATTACCAACAGGTGACTGGGAGATTAACCCTAGCGAGTAAAATTGCCAGCCACTGTAGTGTAGTCATCACCTGATGGTGGTGGACCAAGAAATGTTCATGTGGGACAAGTGTAATGAGAGTGGGTCAGAGGCAGTTGCTGGTACAAGGGTAATGAGAGCGGGTCAGAGGCAGTGGCTGGAACAAGGGTAATGAGAGTGGGTCAAAGGCAGTGGCTCGGACAAGTGTAATGAGAGCGGGTCAGAGGCAGTGGCTGGGACAAGTGTAATGAGAGCGGATCAGAGGCAGTGGCTGGGACAAGTGTAATGAGAGCGGGTCAGAGGCAGTGGCTGGGACAAGTGTAATGAGAGCGGATCAGAGGCAGTGGCTGGGACAAGTGTAATGAGAGCGGGTCAGAGGCAGTGGCTGGGACAAGGGTAATGAGAGCGGGTCAAAGGCAGTGGCTGGGACAAGTAATGAGGAGGGTCAGAGGCAGTGGCTGAGACACGGAGTAATGAGGCCCGGGTTAGAGGCAGTGGCTGGGACAAGAAGGGTAATGAGCGGGTCAGAGGCAGTGGCTGGGACAAGTAATGAGGCGGGTCAGAGGCAGTGGCTGGGACAAGGGTAATGAGAAGCGGTCAAAGGCAGTGGCTGGGACAAGTAATGAGAGGCGGGTCAGAGGCAGTAGCTGAGACACGGTAATATGAGAGCGGGTCAGAGGCAGTGGCTGGGACAAGGGTAATGAGGCGGGTCAGAGGCAGTGGCTGAGACACGGGTAATGAGGCGGGTCAGAGGCAGTGGCTGGGACAAAGTAATGAGCGGGTAGGCGTGGCTGGGACAGTAATGAGGCGGGTCAGAGGCAGTGGCTGAGACAAGGGTAATGAGAGCGGTCAGAGGCAGTGGCTGGGACAAGAACTAAAGCCCAGGTCCAGAGGCAGTGGCTGGGACAAGGGTAATGAGCCGGTCAGAGGCAGTGGCTGAGACACGGAGTAAGAGCCGGGTCAGAGGCAGTGGCTGGGACAAGTAATGAGAGCGGGTCAGGAGGCAGTGGCTGAGACAAGGGTAATGAGAGCGGGTCAGAGGCAGTGGCTGGGACAAGAACTGAAGCAGGTCAGAGGCAGTGGCTGGGACAAGGGTAATGAGAGCGGTCAGAGGCAGTGGCTGGGACAAGTAATGAGAGCGGTCAGAGGCAGTGAC